AGTGAGGTTGGCCCAGGATCAGGCCGTGTTTCATTCTGCTGTGCATAAGGTCACTATGGGTTGGTACAGACTTGATGGCACCTAACAACAACAACATCATAATAAAAGAGGAGTCCTAGTGTAGCGCTGTGGGTTAATGTGCCAGACTGAAATCTGTTTGAATTGCGAAGTCCGTGATTCAAGCTCACCAGCTGCTCCTTGGAAACCCTATACAGGGTCGCTATGGGTCGGCACCGACTTGAGGACACTTAACAACAACAACATAACGGCAGAAATAGATCAAGTCATTAAAAAACTTCCAATAACAAGAAAGGTAGGACCCAGATGACTTTACTGGTGAATTCTACTAAGCATTCTGAGAAGAGCTGACAACAGTTCTACTCAAACTATTCCAGAATATAGAAAAGAATGGAAAACCTCTTTATATGTTTTATAAAGCAAGCCATAAATAACCCTGGTATCCAAACCAGGGAAAGACAGCACTAAAAAAGAAAATTGTAGACCAATATGCTTCGTATTGTTCAAAAGTTCTCAACAAAATACTAGCCAGTAGAATCGAACAACAAATCAAAAAAAATAATGTAGCATGACCAAGTGGGATTAATATCAGGTATGCAAGGATTGTTAGAAAAATAATCAATATAATCTGCCGCATAAATAAAATAATCGAAAAGAACCACATGATCATATCAATTGATGCAGAAAAAGGAATTTGACAAAACTGAACACCCATTCGTAATAAAAGCACTCAACAAAATAGGAATAGAAGGGAAATTCACCTATATAATTAAGTATAGATACAAAACCAGCAGCCAGTATCATTCTCAACAGCGAGAAACTGAAAGAATTCCCCTTGGGAACAGTAACCTGACAAGGATGTGCTTTGTCACCACTCATATTCAATATTGCCTTGGAAGTCTTAGCCAGAGCTATACGGCAAGAATGGGAAATGAAAGTCATCCACATTGGCAAAGAAGAAGTAAAACACTTTCTATTTGCAGGTGATCTGATCCTGAACTTAGAAAATCCCAAAGATTTAACAAGGAAATTATTGGAACTCATTGAAAGATTCAGCAAAATAGCAGGGTATCGGATCACTATACAAAAATCTGTTGGATTCCGTTCCATAGACTCCTGTCAAGCTTGATATGAGAGAGAGAACAGGAAGGGCTGGTTGGTCCAAGGTTTGGGGCGACTTGGGAACTCCTGAGCCCATAGACATTGACCTAGCCACAGAGGGCTAGGTGAGAGTGAAATGTCCAGCTGATCAGAAGTGAGGGGAGATGCACAAGGACACCCATACTTTTAGATAGTTCCCATTGACCTACCTTCAATGGCTTGATGACTTGAGCTCAACTAGAGGAAGATAAATTTGATAAAGGCACCAAGTGTAAGTTGTTACAGTTTGATCAACTTGGCCTATACTTATGGATGTAGAAGCTCAAAATACCACCAAGAGGAAAGGAGTCTTCACATCATGGGTCAATCCTGTACCCTTGGTATACAGGAATGATAGGGATGGACAATTTAGACATTGGCTGCCTAAACTGTGGAGGGATATAAAGGCACAAAATGACTGGTTTACAAATTAGACCTCCTATAAATTAGACACTTATGTGCATCAAAAGGTTTCACCAAGAGTTCAAAGAGAACCTACAGACGGGGAGAAAATTTTTGGCAAAGGCATATGAGATGAGCTATTACTCTACAAAATTTAAAGAACACTGCAGCACCTCAACAAGAAGAAGATAATCCAGTTTTAAAATGGGGAGAGGATATGAGCAGACAATTCACCAAAGAAGACTTTTGGGTACCCAACAAACACATGAAGAAATGTTTGTGATCATTAGCCATTAGAGAGAGATTCAAGTCGAAACAACAATGAGATGCCATTCTTACCCCAGTATCAATTGTTGTTGTTATGTGCCGTGGAGTCGATTCCGACTTAGCGACCCTGCACAGGGTTTCCGAGGCTGTAAATCTTTATGGAAGCAGAAAGCCTCATCTTTCTCCCGCGGAACTGCTGGTAGTTTTGAACTGCTGACCTTGCGGTTTGCAGCCTGATTCGAAACCACTACGCTACCAGAGCTCCTTCCATAGCAAAGTTAAAAAACAGCAAATGTTGGGAAAGATGTGGAGAGACTGGAACCCTTATGTACTGCTGGTAGGACTGTAAAATGGTGCAGCCAAAGTGGAAAATGGTAGGGTGCTTTCTCAAAAAGATGGAAATAGCAATACTATATGACCCATTCTCTCTACTTGGTATCTATCCTCAAGAAATAAAAGTCATGACATGAATAAATAGATGCATGTCCTTTTTCACTGCAGCACTATTCACAGTAGCAAAAAGAGACAGCCTAAATGCCCATCAACAAAAGAATGGATAAACAAACTTTGGTATGGACACACAGTAGAATACTATGCAATGTTGAAGACTAAAGACTCTGCGAACAATTCATTACTTGGATGAACCTGAAGAACATGCTGAGTTGCATTAGTCAATCATAAAAGGATAAATATTGTATGAGACCACTATTGTAAAAAGTCAAGTAAAAGTTTTCATGCTAAATGAAACATTCTATAATGGTTACCAAGGATTGTGAGAAAGGAGAATATTCACTGGCTAGGAGTCCTGGTGTTGCACTGTAGGGTAAGCACTGGACTGCTAACCATAGGATCAGCAGTTGAAACGCACCAACCACTTCCTGGAAACCCCATGCCAGGTCACTATATGTTAGAACTGATTTGATGACAGTTAACAACAGCAAGAACGTCTGTTCTGCATTAGTCAATTTTAAATATCTTTAAAATTTCTGAAAATTTTAGGCATTGTTTTTGGTGTTAAACTGTTTAATTCTCTGCTGTCAATGGTCATGAAGTTAATTTGGCTGTCAAACAATGTATGTGTACACTAGAAATGTTTGGTTTTTAAATATCATGCATAAAAAGGTAATACATTTCTTAGCATCAGGGTTTCCGAGGCTGAAAATCTTTATGGGAGTAGAAGCCTCATTTTTCTCCCGCCTAACAGCTGGTAGTTTTGAATTGCTGACCTTGAGATTAGCAGCCCGACTTGTAACCACTGTGCCACCAGAGCTCCTTATGTTTCAAACGTAGTTGATATTAAAAATGATCAGACTCATAGTATAATGATGACATTTATCATTCCGTGAAGATACTGATCATGAGATCAGTTCTTACGGACTGAATCACAGCCATAGTTTTAGACATTACCCTTACTGTTTTATTATCAAACTTGTCTTTTAGAATATGTCTTCAAGATACACATTATTTTCTTTGATATGCAAATGAAAATCGTCAGTAACAATGCAAGATTACATAGATCAGGAGTGGGTTACCTTTTTCTGCCAAAATTTACATCATTCATGGGCCATACAAAATTATCAATTTAAAGATTAGCTTGCTGTATTTGGTCAAACACTGGATTAACTCATTCCTAATGTGATGGCTGGAGTCCTGGTGTGGTGCTGTGCTTTAATGCACTGACTGCAAGGTTAGTTTGAACTGCAAGGTTAGCAGTTCAAACTCACCAACTGTTCCTTGTTAACCCTACACAGGGTCGCTATAAATCGGAACCAATTTAATGGTAATTAACAATAACAGCTGCAATGTAATAGCTGGAACTTCAGTTTTCTTGGCAGAGCCAACCCAAATGATTTTCTGGGCCTTCTATGGCCAGACATTTCCCACCCTTGACATAGACAGTACAGCCAGGATTCAAACAGACTCTGTCTCTAAAATCTTCATTATTTCTACTGTACTACTGACTTAGTAGACTTAAAACCCAACTCTCATCTCTATGAAGAACTGAATTCACAGTAGTTCATTAGTTGTTTCTGGGGATGCATCAGTTAGATAATTTGGGAATTTTCTGAAAAATACGCTTTGTTTCTGTCATCACTTAATAAACTTTTTTCTTTCTTATTATATATTATTAGGACGTCTTGCATGGCTGGTATACTTAGTTGGGACAGTTGTAGGAGGAAGATTAACATATACTAGTACAGATGAGCATGATGCGATGGATGGAGAATTGTCTTGTCGGTAAGTAATGACCATATAATTTACAGAAATTGACTAAGCAGTTAAAACGTTTAGTTACTGAGCTGGTATTATGAACTAAAGCATTTTACCTTTGACCTTTTGAAGAAGATATTATTTCCCTTTTCACTGATGAGAAAACCAAGACTTAGAGGTTAAGTGATTTGTAAAAGGTCAAATTTCTAATCAGTAGTGGAATGAAAAAAAATTTAAATTTTATAAATAATATGATATAAATGAAAGTTGCTTTTTATTTCCTAAGAACTGACAAATTTGCAAAATTGATGTTTACAGGCATGACATACATAACAAAATAGTGGGTAGTCAGTTGTACAACACAGACTTTAATTAATTAACCAGATTTTTCATCTGATTACCATAACCTTGTTGTTGTTGTTAAGTGCAATTTAGTTGGTTCTGACTCATAACGACCCTACCTATATAGGGTTTCCTACTAGTGACTGCTGGTGAGCTTGAACTGCCGACCTTGTGGTTCAAACCAACCTTGAAGTTCAGTGCATTAACCCACAGTGCTGCACCAGGACTTAATAGCCTTAGTAAGAAGTAACTAAATTATTCCCCTTATATTTCAATTCTAAACTAAAAAAAAAAAAGGTTACATAAGAATGATATGAGTATTTTGATTTCCCATATATTTTATTTTTAATAATACCTTAATTTTATTATGAGCTGCTCTTTGGAAATCCTATACATGATCACTATGAGTTGGATCCAACTTGACAGCACTTAACAACAAGAAATAAGTATTTTTCTTGAAACTTTAAGAAATTCAGCTGAAAAATAAAGGAAATTCATTGATATGGAGATAGCTACTATTATCATTTGGGGAAAGACTTGAGTTTTTAAAATTAATATATGTGGAAAAAGAAATAAAGACAACAAAAAATTAACATTTGTTGTTGTTAAGTGCTGTCAAGTTGGTTCTGACTCATAGCAACCCTGTATAGGATTTCCAAGGAGTGGCTGGTGTGTACCAAAAAATCCAAATCTATGAACTCAGTTTTGATTCATAGTGATCCTGTAGGTGTATGTACACCACATGTGTATTTTTTACCTTTTAGAACAAACTTATAATATTGTTTTTTAAACTAAAATGGAAACAAAAATAACTTGTTAGGTTTTTTAAATCAAACAGCAACTCATGAACATTTTACTTAGATATTAAATATTCTAAACTGTATCACAATTTATGAGCCCTTTAGGTGCTGTGGTTAAAACACTCAGCTGCTAACCAAAAGGTTGGTAGTTCAAACATACTAGTCATTCCATGGGATAAAGATTTGGCAGTTTGCTTTTGTAAAGATTTACAGCCTTGGAAGCCTCATGAGACAGCTCTACTTTGTCTTGTAGGGTGCCTATGAGTCAGAATCACCTTGATGGCAGTGGGTTTGGTACCGTAGTTTATTTAAGCAAACACCTAGCTATGGATTTTTAGGGTATTTCTTAATTGATTCTTCTTCTAAGTTGCTTTTAGGTGATTGTTTTTATAGCTATATCTTAATGGGGTTTTTTGGAGTCCTGGTGTGGCGCTGTGGGTTAATGCTCTGGACTGCAAGGTTGGTTTGTACTGCAAGTCAGTGGTTCCAGCTCACCAGCCACTCCTCAGAGACCTTATACTGTGAGTCGGAACAACTCAACGGCACTTAACAACAACAGAGCTTTATGTAGATTAAAATAATTTCATTAGCGTTAAATGCTGAAACGTTGAAATGCTGGTTGAAGGATATGCATCATTTTAGACTTTTTCATCTAGATTACCAAATGGTCCTCTGGAAAAACTAGCAGTTTTTCCTCCCAGCCCAAAGGTGGTGATGATGGTGGTTGTGTGTCTTGGAATTGGTTCCGACTCATAGTGACCCTGTATAGGCTGAGGTTATAAATCTTTATGGGAGCAGAAAGCCTCATGTTTCTCCCTTGGAGCAACTGGTAGATTTGAACTTCTGACCTTGCAGTTAGCTGCCCAGCTCACAATCCACTACACTACAGGGTTCCTTTAAGGCTCTGTGAGTGACCACTCTTCTGTCATGAACACTAGTTCAGTTCTCATTTTGTCAGTTTGTTGCTAATAAAATGTTTTGTTTTCATTTGTATGTCTTTGGTTACTAATGTCAGACTTCCTTTAATTTTCATATCTGTATTGATTATATCATTTACTTGATTTTCTTTTGTGATTATCTTCTCATTTTTCAGCTCAATTTAATATCAAATATCTTAATATTTGATTATTTGTTTTGAAAATTTTTTTATACTTTTATTATAAATCCTTTTAAATGACTTAAAATACTTATCTATTCAAGTCAGGAGGGACCAGTCGCTGAAGAAGGATATAATGTTTGGTAGGGTGGAGTGTCAGAGAAAAAGAGGAAGACCCCCAGTGAGATGGATTAGCAAAGTTGTGGCAGTGATAGTGAGGTTGGCCCAGGATCGGGCAGTGTTTCATTCTGCTGTGCATAAGGTCACTATGAGTGGGTACCGACTCAATGGCACCTAACAACAACAACAACATTCTAGTCTATTAGTTTTTCCATTTGTGTTGTCTCTATTTCTCAAACTTGAACAAGTCTTTCTACTCCTAGATAATAAAAATATCTACCTATGTATTTTTCCTAGTTCTCTTATGATTTCTGCTCTCTATATTTAATTGACATATCTGAAATTTCTTTTTGGTGTATACTTCTTCCAAAGTGTTAAACACTTAATGCTAAACCCTACTGTTGTTGTTGTTATGTGCCGTGGAGTTGATTCCGACTCATAGTGACCCTGTACATGGTTTCCGAGGCTGTAAATCTTTACGGGAGCAGAACGCCTCATCTTTCTCCCGCGGAACAGCTGGTAGTTTCAAACTGCTGACTCTGAGGTTTGCAGCCTGATTCGTAACCACTACGCTACCAGAGCTCACTTTTTTGCACTAAATTCTTGGATCTCTTTTTTAGCTTTTTATTCTTTTCTATTGATCTTCGATGTCTATTCTCTCATATTTTGTTGTTGTTAATTACCATAGAGTCGGCACTGACTCATAGCGACCTTATGCACAGCAGAAAGAAACACTGCCCAATCCTGGGCCAACCTTATTACTGTTGCCATGTTTGAGTCCATTGATGCTGTCACTTGGCCAGTCCATCTAGTTGGGGGTCTTCTTGTATCATCTGCATATTGCAGGTTGTTAATGAGCCTTCCTCCAATCCTGATGCCACGTTTTTCTTCATAGAACCCAGCTTCTCGGATTATTTGCTCAGCATAGATTGATTAAGTATGGTGAAAGATAGAATCTTGTCGCACACCTTTTAAAATTTTAAACCATTCAGTGTTCCCATGTTCTGTTCGAACAACTGCCTCTCTTGGTCCAGGTACAGATTCCTCATCAACACAATTAAGTGTTCCGGAATACTCATACTTTGCAATGTTGTCCATAGCCTGTCATGATCCACACAATCGAAAGCCTTTGTATAGTCAACAAAGCACAGGTAAACATCCTTCTGATATTCTTTGCTTTCAG